CAATTCCCAGTCAGGGCACATGCCCGGTTTGCGGGCTCGATCCCCAGTGTGGGGCTGCCAGGAGGCAGCCGATCCAGGGTTCTCTCTCTTCATTGATGTTTCTCTCTCTTCCCCCTCCAGTCTCTGAAATCAATAAAAACATATTAAAAAACAACAACACCTGAATGTAGACCACGAGGCCTTTTGAAAACAGCTGCGTTCCGATCACTGATCCACCGGAGGGCACCAGCCAACGCCCAGAAGATGAAGGTGGCACCACAGGCCCGTTTCCAACGAGGTCTGCGGCCTCCTCCTGGGCAGGGACCTGGGCCCGACCGTCCACCTGGCTGCCCCCCTGGAGGGCTCCTAATCCCTTTCCGCCCTCCCCGCCTCCAACAGGTTCCTCTGATCCTCACCAAGTCCTCCTCCTCCTGAGTCGTGGTTTCTGACCTTGGTAAGCGACCCAACTGCTCAGCCACGCCTCCCGGGTACAGGGACAGGGAGGAGCCACCGAGAAACCCCAGCTGCAAGATCCACTGGTGTAGTTCCGTCTGCTTGCCTGTTCGCTGTGTGTGTGCGTGTGTGTGCGTGCCTGTGTGTGTGCACGCGTGTGCCTGCGTGCGCATGCAGGCCTGTGCGCTGTGGCCCATGGGGCTCAGTGTGAGTCCCATCGGGGTGACATGACTGGCCTCCTCCGTGGCTACTCGGCCCTGCCACCACCTCCCAGCGGGAATACGTGGTCCTTCCTCGCAGGCCTGGGCGAGTGGATCTGTCGGGAAACCCTCCCTCCCGGCTACGACCTCTTCCGTGACAGGTGCGCGAGGGGCTGACGGAGGCACAGCCTGCACCCCGGGCCACGTGTGAGCTCGTTCCAGGGGTCGTCAGGGCAACAAGCCGGCCACAAACACAGCAGCCACACAGCTGTCACGTGCCCGCTCCGCCCCCCTCAGGTAAGCAGGCCAGCCAGGTGCCACTGCCGTCCAAGGGGACACAGAGGGAATCAGCACATAGGTCCCTCCGTTGCTTTTCCTTAAAAAAAAAAAAAAAGCCAGATCAGCTTGACTGGTGTGGCTCAGTGGTTGAGCATCAGCCTAGGAACCAGGAGGTCAGGGTTCGATTCCCGGTCAGGGCACAGGCCCGGATAGCGGGCTCCATCGCCAGTGAGGGGCGTGCAGGAGGCAGCCGATCGATGATGTTCCTGTCTCATGGATGTTTCTCTCTCTATAAATCAATTAAAAATATATTTTAAAAAAAGCCAGATGGACTAGCTTCCTGCTGTCAGCTTGGCAAACACAGAAGTTTAGAAAGCTGGGCGTGGAGACGGAGAACACGGGTTAGTGTCGCGGGGGTGGGGGAGGGCTGGGGGTCGCAGTGGGCGTGGTTACTGACCCGTCACTTAAAGGACCTTCTTTACTGGACCACGGACAAGGTGGGTTTAGAACAGAAACAGAAAAGACAGAGAGAGTTATCGGTGGGCAGAGCCGGGACGTCCGGGCCGCACGAGGCGAGCGCACCGGGCGCCGTGAGCGGCGCGTCTGAGACCGCGCTCCACACCCACTGCCCCGGGGACACGCAGGTGGCGGCCATGCAGCCAGCGCGGCCAAGGGCACGGCCAGCCCAGCGGCAGCCGCAGCAGCACACACGCCCCAGGCCAAGCTCAAAACCAGATCAGAAACACCCAGTGCCTACGAGGGACACGAGTCGTCGCACGGGCTGCAGGGTGGGGTCGTCGAGGATCAGTCCAGCCGCTACCATGGGCATTATGGCTGTAAAGATCCTGCTCGGAAAAGTACAGACAGACAGACAGACAGCGATGAAGAGCAGGAGGCGCGAAGGAGGCCCGCCCCGCACACCGGGAGGGCGGCCCGGCCCGTGTGACGGTGGAGTTGTGCCACCCCCCCCCCATGCTGTCCTAAGCCAGGGCCTCCGAAGGTGACCCTGTGGGAGCAGGGTTCCTCAGATGTACCTGGTTACGATGAGGTTACAGGGGAGCAGGGTCCCTGTAAGGGGGGGTGTGGAGACGGACACGCACACAGGAAGGAAGGCCAAGGGGGAGGTCAGGTGAAGGTTCTAGAAGCCAACAAAGGCCAACGCCAGCCCCAGGAGAGAGGGCGGGGCAGGCGCGCCCTCACGGCCTCAGGAGAGAGGACCTGCGACACCCTGGCCTTGGGCTTCTAGCCTGCAGAGCGAGGAGCCTGTCTGTGGTGTAAGCCGCCTGGTCCCCAGCGAAGCACCCGGCAGGTGAGAACCAGGCAGATGACAGCCCCCGAGGGAGGACGGGCAGGGCAGGCCTGGGGCACGTCGGGCCCCTAGCTGGGCCAGGACAACCAGGTGTGCCAACCGATCCACTGCCACGTACTTTGAACAGCTTGGCTTTTTCTCTTTTTGGGTTTTTCTGGGAGGTTGGCTGGGAAAGGACATAAACGAACTGTCTCGGACGAGGGTGGGGTTCTCTGTGTGTGGATCGCCTTTGATGCGCGCCCGAGTGGCTGGCATCTGGGCAGGACCCCCTGGACGGCTGCTCACGTGACGTTGAGAAGAGGGGATGCCTTCTGCCAAATGATGGGCCCCCCACCGCCAGGCCAGAGGGCATAGTCAGCTTTCCAGGGGCTCCAAGCCACACGGTCCTGCACCCACTTTCACCAGGACCCCTCTCAGCATGACAGGGCGCCCCAAAGACACAGGCTTTGTGTGGGGATGGCCCTAGACGTGGTTGGGCCTTCTGCCTGGACACACGCCGGCCAGACTGACGCACGGGGGCCCTGGGACACGGGCCTGTGTGGCCCCTGAATGGGCGCCCCTGCGGAAGCACCTCCCTCCAGGGAACGGCCCGCCAGGAGGCAGCTGAGTCCCGGGGGCCCTGCAGCTGGTTTTAACTCTGGAAGGCAAACCAGCGCGGCCCCAGCTATTTCCAGCGGGAGGGTGGTGGGGAGGACGGGACAGCATGCCCGCTGCCCCTACCGCTGCACCCCTGTGGCCGCTGTCTGACCCGCCGCCTCCCTGGCCCCCCTCTCCCTGCTTCCTGCCTCCGGCCAGCCCCTCCGCTCTGAGCCGCAGGAAGCAGCTGTGTGGGTCCCTGGGACCCCGATCGGGGGCTGGGGCCACACAAAGGGGGCACCGGTGCCTGGTGTCCACCAGGGACGAGCTGGAGTCGCTCAGGCGCTCCCGCGTGACCTGCCGGGCAGTGCCAGCCGGCCTCGGGGCCGGCAGCTGCGCGATCACAAGCTATTCTTGGACCGTCCTCTGGGCACATTGTTTTGACTGGCAGCGGAGTTTCTGGTTCCCTCGGGCGGGTCAGCCCAGAAATGCAGACACTGGCGCCTCGGGCTCGTGGGCCTGGAGAGATAAGGGAACTGGGCAGCCGGCCCACAGCTGGCGACTCAAGTCGGGGGGAGGGGCGGGGCCGGGAGGAGTGGGACAGCCCGGGTGGCAGACAAAGGGCCTGGGTTAAGTCCTGACTCCCAGGGCCTCACTTTCTTCTGAGAAATGGGGTGAAGGGTCCCAGCTCAGAGCCACCCCTGACTCGGGTCGCTCCGGACAACAACGTCGTCCAAGCCGGTTTATAAACTCTCATCACAATCTCAAAGGCTCTTTTGATGCAAAAAAACACGGAGGTAGGCCCGGCCGGCGTGGCTCAGTGGTTGAGCATCAACCTAGGAACCAGGAGTCAAGGTTTGATTCCCCGTCAGGGCACAGGCCGGGGTCGCGGGCTCGATCCCCAGGGTGGGGCGTGCAGGAGGCAGCCGGTCCATGATTCTCTCTCATCGCTGATGTTTCTCTCTCCCTTCCTCTCTGACATCAATAAAAATCTATTAAAAACCAACAACCCTGCAGTAGCTGTAAGTCTAGTTGAGGGCAAGGGTAGGCTGCTCTTGCTTGCGTGTCCTCACAGTGCCCCGGGCCCGACTCTGCATGCATTACGCACCAATAACTAATCAATGAAGGTACGGAGGGACAGGTGGGTGAGTCACCAGAGCAACGCAGAGATGCGGGGCGGACCCGGGCCCATTCCTGGCCTCTCGAGCTGGGGTTCCAAGCCCTTAAGCAGCACGAGCCACGCCCCCACGCCCCCAGCCTCAAGGACACACCCCACCAGACCCACTCAAGCAAGCCTTCCCCACACCTCTGCCCAGGGACCCCAGGAGGACGCGGCACCCACACAGAGGTGGACTCAAGTCAAGGGCAGGCCCCACGCGCCCGGTTAGGCCTGTCTCAGCAGGAGCTGGTTAGTGACAAGCCCGGCCCTGGGGCAGGTGCCCAGGAGGCGTGAGAGGCCAGGGAGCCGCCAGGGCAGCCGCCAGCGAGCAGCCGCGGGCCGGAAGCTGGTCACTTACAGTCGCTTGATCCCAGACTCCGGCTGGGGGGACATCCTCGGGTGGATGATGGGCGGGGGCTGGAGCATTCGATTTTCCTCTTCTATTTCTTCACTGGAAGGGGGTGAGAGGTGGAAGGCAAGAGTCAAAAATTCCCGGAGAGCTGGGACATTCCAGAAGGGTGTTGTCTGATGGTCTGGGGGGACTCGCACTTGGAATAAGGGGGCCCCAGAGGCTGGCACCAGTGGCCTCTGCCTGGGGGGCTGCCCCTAGGGGGGGGCATGGCAGTGAGCAGGGAGGCGGGCCCTGCAGGCGATGGGCCCAGGGGCCGGGGACCCCTTGGCTTTGGGACCGTGTGCGGCGTCGCAGGGACGGGACCCACATCTCCATTTCCAGTTCCCTTTGAAGATTCCAGCCAAAGAGAACTATGGTGGAACCTCGCTTCTCGACCGTCCCCCATCTCGGACAATTCCCTTCTCCGCCCCGACGCCCTTTCGTGCCGATACCGTACGCGCAGCCAGCACCTCAGGGGACAGGGGAGAGAAGGCGCGAGAGCGAGTGTTTCCCACTGAACGTCTCAGCGAGTCGCGCTGGGAAAGGCTTAGAAGCTGTTCTAGAACAGGTTCCTTTTGCTTCTGTTGCTGCTTATCATGATCGTTAAATTTTCCTTTTTTACTGTAATTTCCTTTCCTTTTCGTTAAATGCTCATTTACATTTCGTGTCCTCTTGTTTTTAAAGTGTTTCTTTACAGACTCAACAGCACAAGAGACAAGTTCTGAATATAAAGAAGGTTAAAATGGAATCATTTGTGGTCTGGAATGAATTAATTCAATTTACACGATTTCTATCGGGGAAAAAAGAGTCGGCTTTCCAACAGCCTCCGGAACCAAGTAAGTTCGAGAAACGAGGTGCCACTGTACTTGCTGTTTCCTGTCCCTGCAAATGCTGGTCTCCATGCCTTTGTGTTTTCTCCCGTCTGGAATACGCCACCCGCCCCTCAACCTCCCTCCGTCCTGAAGGGTACCCTCTCCGTGAGAGCAGGCCCCGTTCAAATGCCACCTCCTCCATGAAGCCCTCCCAGAATGAGACTTCGGCCAGAGGGAGGCCCCAGAACGGACGCAGATGCAACCCTTGTCTTCTAGGAGCTCACTGTCCCCAGGCTCCGCACGACCCCGGGGGCCGCTGGGGCTTCCACTGAACCCCAGGGAACGTGCCCATGGGGGAGCACGGGCTCGACCAGAAGGCTCCGCACGACCCCAGGGGCCGCTCACCTCTTATAGTACGCCAGCTCTTCCTGCAGCAGGAACACCTTGGACTTGAGCTCGTTCCTCTCGTGCAGCACGTCCCGCAGCTCCTGCAGCGTGAAGCGGGGCCGGTTGGGGTCCTTGAGGTCCATGGCCGCCTTCTCCGCCTCCGAGATGCTCTCCTCCCCGCCGGGCTCCGCCTGCAGGAGGCAGAGACGCGGCTGAGCCCCTGGCAGCACCCGGTCACGCCCACTGCCCACCCTCCCGGCCCCAGCAGCTCACCCAGGGCGCTATTTTAGGTGCCCGCGGCCTCCGCTCCCCTTTTGTGAAGTCCTCTGGGGACGGAAGCCGGCGGCCACCTGTCCATTGTCTGCCTTCTCAACTGCCCAACCGGACACCAGACCCCGCGCCTCCCCGCCTGACTCGGGGTTTCATTACCAGCTGCATTCAGAGGCGGCCGAGGAGGAGACTCCGCACACCAAGGCCGCCACCTCAGACCTGCCGTGTCCCTCTCCCAGCCTCTCTCAGCCCGCTGCGATCTATTGATCTATTGATCGATCGGGCCAGAGCAGCTGGGATCAGCGCCTGCGCGTAATTCGTTCTACCTTTCCATTTGTGATTAAGTCACGTGCCTCTTCCCACTTGTGACCAGCCTTCTGGTCGAGCCCTTCCTCCCCCGTGGCCGTGGGCATGTACCCTGGGGTTCAGTGGAAGCCCAGCTCAGGGGGGACAGGGTCACACGGACGGATCCCAGCATGCTAAGTCACCTGATCCAGGCCAGGTCCAAACCTGGTCCTCCCACCCTCTGCCAGAAAAAGGAACTTTAAACAAATGACAATAAGCCCATTGACATGGCTCTGTGGTTGAGCGTCGACCTATGAACCAGGAGGTCACGGTTTGATTCCCGGTCAGGGCACAGGCCCGGGCTGCGGGCTCCATCCCCAGTGGGGGACGTGCAGGAGGCAGCCGATCCACGATTCTCTCTCATCATTGATGTTTCTCTCTCTCTCTCTCCTTTCCTCTCTGAAATCAATAAAATAAAAAAAAAGGGGGGGAAAGCTCAGGACAAGAGGGAATGCTCCAGAACAGGAGATTGAGGGATTGAAATAAAGACCCTCCCCCACCCCCCAAAACAAACACCCCACAGCGGCACAGGCCAAGGGGACGCGGCCTGGGTCAGGGGCGCGGCTGGGATGCTGGGCTCCAGAAGGCATCCTGGGAGCCGGACAGGCTGTTCTGGGAAAGGACACTTGAAAGGAGACACCCCCCCTCGGGGCAGGTCAGGTGACAGAAGGGCCACTTGGCAGGCAAGGGGGTGGGGTGGGGGGAGGGGGTGACCCGGAGTCAGCAGACAGCAGGGCAGCAGGAAACCCAGCCTGACACCCCTACACACACCCACACACACACACACCAGCTGGGGATGAGAGGAGGGCCCCGGCCCACCCAGGAACCAGGGGAGGAAGTGCTGGAGGACTTCGCCTCCCAGGAAAGCGCGTGTGCGGGGCACGCCTCCAGCTGGGCTGTGGTCATGGCAGCCCTCTGCACAGCTAGACTCTGACGCTGCCCCCGCCCACGACCCGTGTGGCCGGTGCCCGGCACACAGCAGGAGCTCACTAACGGCGACATTTCTCTTCCCCTGACCGGGTTAACCACGGAGCGTCCCTGAATGTCTAACACGCATTCAACCTGTGTGAAGCGTTAACCTTGTGCTGCTGGCCACTGAGCTGATGAGACGAATCAGACAGGAACGTGCAGGTGGAGGGAAGAGCCACATAAATGGAAACTCATCCGGTAACAAGCACAGTGAAAGGGTGCCAGACACCCAGCTCCACGGGGGCTCGCAGAAGGCGTGACTGCAGATGTGGTCTCCGTGCATGGGGTCTTGACGGATGTGTAGGAGTCCGCTAGGAACTATGCCTCCCTCCACCCCCCGTCTCTGCCCCTCATTTTGTTTGGCTCTGACTGTATTCTAAGACTTTTAATCAGTGGCCAAAGAATTTAGATCAGAAGACTTCACACCAAAGCTTAGGTTTTGGGCTTCCTTTTGGATAAAAATGGGAAGATTGGGTGACACTGGACCCGCACGGGGACACTGTTGCTGCGTAGCTGCTACTCTCGGTACCTGCTCTTCCCACGGCTGCTGACTCCCCACACCTTTTTCCTTCTTGGCCTCGGCCCCTGAGGCCTCAGGGGCCCCTTTCATGCCCCATCTCAGGCTCCACACTCCCTCCAGGCCCTCCCTCCCCGGAACTCAGGTCCTGCCGTCACTGGGGCAGGTCCCAGGTTCCTGAGTCCCTGGGAGGGACCATCTGACAGGCGTCTGCCCGCCCGGGAAGGCGAGAAGCCCTCAAGAGGCTGCCCAGAGCTGGGAAGTGCCAGCCAGCGGACCAGACGCTGGCGGGTTCCCCACCACAGAAAGGAAGGGGCAGTGCCGTGCGTGATGGAAGCTGGGCTGACGCTACGGTGGCCTCACACTGCAGGACACTAACCAACCAGTCAGCACGTGCACACCCTCAACCGCACAGTGCTCGATGTCGGCCTTATCCAACACGGATGAATGCGCTCACAAAATGAGCCTGGCTGGTGCTGCTAGGTGGCTGGCCATGACCCAGGAGGTCACGGTCGACTCCCGGTCAGGGCACATGCTCAGGGTGCAGGGGGCGTGCATGAGGCAGCTGATCAGTAATTCCCTCTCGTCACTGCTGTTTCCGTCTCTCTGCCCCTCGCCCTGCCTCTCTGAAATCAATTAAAATATATAAATAAACTGAGCGAGGCTTCCCTTCCCAGAGGCCTTTGGGCGTGCTGCCGGCCCCTCTCCCGGCCTGTGTTTCTCCATCTCGCCCTGGATAACCCAACAATATGCCTAGGAGCCCTTCCCGCCGGACTGGGGGACCCCTATAAACACTGCTCACATGGGGGACCCCTATAAACACTGCTCTCAAGCCGGCATCTCCCCTTGCTCAGCCTGGAGGCTGCCATCAGCCCCACTGAAGGCTCCTCGGAGCCCCAGCGTTCTCTCTGGAGGAGGGAAGGCTGTTTCACAGGGAGTGTCTGAGCCCCTTAGAACTTGGGGGCTTCCCAGGCAGCGTGGCCAGCAGGTCCTGCCTCTGGGGCCGCTGCCTGGGGGCAGAGGAGGGACAGCTGGGGGCTCCGGCTTCTCTGGAGGCCACGGGTCCTGATGCAGTGCCTGGGGCAGCCCCTATCGGCCGATGGGCAGCGGGCCTTCTAGGCTGACGGCACCAGGGACCGTGGCGGTGGCCTGGGTTATCTCGGATGGTCCGCTCTCCCGCGAGGCGCCCTGGGCACAGCCGGAGGGAGGAGCCCGGCCCGCCGCTCCCTGGGGAGGTCCGGGAGCCCGGCCGACAGGCAGTGCGGCCTGTGCAGAGGCGTCGGGGGGTCACGCCTCCGTCAGGCCCTCCATCCTGAGGCCGGGCCCCCTGCGCACGCTCCCTGCTGCCTGGGCCCGTCATGGCCTCTTCCTGTGCCCCAGGCCCAGCAAAGGGGACCGACTACGCGAATTCAGCCCGAAACCCAGCCTCACCGATGGCTCCTGTCTACTTTCCTTGCGTACTTAAAAGACCACACAGCCAGGCCCGTGGCTCAGTGGCTGAGCGTCGACCTAGGAACCAGGAGGTCAGGGTTCAATTCCCAGTCAGGGCACAGGCCCGGGTTGCGGGCTCCGTCCCCAGTGTGAGGCGTCCAGGAGGCAGCTGATCCATGATTCTCTCTCATCACGGATGTTTCCATCTCTCTCTCCCTCTCCCTTCCTCTCTGAAATCAATGAAATTATTTAAAAAATAAAATGTAATTCATGTACCATAAAATCCACTCTTTTAAAAGTACAGAATTCGGTGTTTTTAGTCCATTGACTTGTGCGACCATCACCACTAATTCCAGAAATTTTCATCACCCAAGGGAAACCCCGTCGCCATTAGCACTCACTCCCCATCGCCCCCCACTCCCGGCCCCCAGCCCCTGCAGCCACCATCCGCTTTCTGTTCTGTGGATTTGCCTGTTCTCCACCTCAAGTCACTGGAATCATGCAGCATGCGGCCTTTGTGTTGGCTACTTTCATGTAGCATGTTTTCTAAGTTCATGCATGTTATGGCGTGTGTCAGTGCTTCATTCCTTTTCATGGCTGAGTAATTTTCCACTGATTGGACAGACCACGCTTTGTTTATCCATGAATCATCCATGGACATGCCGGTTGTTTCTACCTTCTGGCTATTGTGAGCAGTGCTGCTATGACCTTGCAGTATGATCCATAGTTGCTGGAATGAATGAGTGAGTGAATGAATGAATGGATGGATGGATGGAGGATGGCAGGTGCCCCGTAACCACCTCTGAGCTGCCTACTCTGGGCTACAACGCTGGGGGCCCAGACCTGCCTCTCCCCGCTGCTGTGTGTCCTCCAGGCAGCGGCTAGCGCTCTCTGGGCCTCCGTCCCTTAAAGCGTCCCGGGGAAAAGGCAGCCGGAGCCGGCGTGCACTCACCTCGGGCTCCTGCTCGCCGTTCTGGCTGGGGTCGCCCCGCAGCCGCTCGCGTAGCTTCCCGAGCTCCGCCCGCAGGCTGCCCATCTCCTGCTCCTTGGTCTGCAGGTCGGCCTCCAGCTCGACCTTCTGCTCGATCAGGGCCTTGCCCTGCGCCTCCACCACGGTGATGCGGTGCCGGAGGTCGTGGTTGATCTTCATCAGCCGCGTCTGCTGCTGCTGCAGCTGCGGGGGGAGAAAGGCCGCTGACGGGGCGCCCCGCGGGGCTCACGCCACGCCCGCACAAGGCAGACCACCCCGCGCCTGCCACTCGCATTGCCCGCGTCTTTGTGGGTTTGACAGGTGTTCACAGAGCTGTGCCGGTGCCAGAGGCGGGCGATGTGTCTATTTACTGTGGTAACTTTATGGCAGACGGAGATGCGTGTCTTGTTAGTACAGGAAGACAATTTCCCAGCAGATGGAAGTAACATGTCTGGAGAGAGGGGTGAGTGTTGTTTTTTTTTTTAAATTATGTTGTTATTGGTGTTCGAGAGAGAGAGAGGAAGGGAGAGGAATAGAGATATAGTGACATCCATGATGACAGAGAACCATGGATCGGCTGCCTCCCGCACGCCCCACACTGGGGATGGAGCCTGCAACCCAGGCCTTTGCCCTGACCCGGAATTGAACCCTGACCTCCCGGTTCATAGGTCACCTGGGAACCATGCACTCCAGGGGGAAGCCTCAGGGTCAGAGCCCAGGCCGAGCGGGCCTGGGGCCTCCCCAGGGTGTGGGTGGCAGGTCCCTGGGTGGGGCCTTGGTCCCTCCCG